TGACATTTTGTTCGAGACGTATAAAATTAGGAAAATCAGGAGGTCCCATATGGGGCCTATACCAAAAGGTGGAACTATTTTGAATTTTTTTTAAGCCAAGTAGTTAAACTACCCACTGAGAACGCGCTCTGCCAAATTATAGCGCAGTCGGTTGGAAATTGGGGTTGCAACCTTTAAATGCAACCAATAAATACCAAAAAATCAGCGGATATCGTCATAGGAGAGCTAAACCAAAAAGTTCTGCTCCTTTGAGGTTTTGCAAACAGAGTGATATATTTAATATACCCTGTCGTTTTGGGGTGGAGCCTATTAAAAACCCAAAAAAAAAATGGTTCCTAATGGGGTTCCTTGAAATTCGATAATTTTTTATTGGTTTTCCTCATTAATTTCCCCCTTTTTCAGAGCTCTCCTTGGAGCGCATGGCCCAGGTGAATAGCGTTTTGAGAATACTCACAGAATCGATTGAAAAACTGAAAATATCTCTAATTCTACCTCACCTCTTCGAGAATCCCATTACATTGAGACAGCATTTGGATGATACCGACTACAGATATTGTGAAAAACTCATTATGGAATATATCAGAGAAAGGGTAAGCTCTACAAATTCAATTCTCAACAGCTAATAATCCAAATTGCCTTTCTTTGCAGAAACTCAAATCACACTCAAGCGATTCGGAACCCCATTTAGATTATCGTTTAATCAAAATCATTGATTATTTTCATGAAAACTACAATGTTTTGGAATGCATTACCGATATGGCAGATGATTTATCGCCCAAAGACAAATCCTTGCTGCAGGCATTCGAGTTACTGCACAAAATCACCGAGCAACGTCTCAAGAAATCAGCTATAAGTGAACTGAATAAAGAGAAGAAAATCCATGAAATTTTTCATGAAAATGAAACGGTCAAGAAGAATATAAAAAGTGAGAATTTGGTGGGGAGGAAAATGATATGGAAGTTGTTAAAGGATTCGTTTTTTGCTTTTTTTTTTGTTCCAGTGACCCAACGCCAATTGAAAAAGCAGCGCATCAACCTGCAATGGAAACTGGCTGCCAAGGAGGCAATGATACAGAAATACGAGGAAAGTCTTTCATTTCGTAAATATGACAATAATGTGAAAATCAAACAGGAAATGTAAGGGAAATTGATTTTTTTTTTTAAATATTTGAAAATAAAATAACATTTTTCCTATATTTTTCAGAATCAAGTCAAGTCGCAGTATACGGCAAATACATGCTGCCAGTGCGGTAAAACAAAAGGAGCTACAGGAAGAGCTGGAGCATATAAAGGCAAACTATGAAAAAGTGCTGAAAGACAATTTGAAACAGGAGAAAATTGCCAGGGATGAAAAGTAAGACAAAAAAGTATCTTCCGGACTAACATAGAAAGATGTCACAGAATTAATTTTTTATATCCTCCATCATAATATGGAGGGTATATTAAGTTTGTAATACCTCGTAATATATATTTAGACCCCACAAAGTATATATACAGGGTGAGATAAAAGACTGCAACAAAGTCAAAAGCCATAATTTTTTTTTTTTTATATTTAATTGAACGACATCTCGGAAACAGCATCAAATTTTAAAATAAGTTTAGATTTTTTCAAATTTGTTACATTTGGCACGAATTATGGTCTTCAAACGACGAATGAAACCGCCGTGACACGATGGCCTAATGTTGCTCTGCCTTATTTTGGCCCTATCCCAGTGAAGCGACAATTTGGTAATTTTTAGTGCCAACCTTGCTTTCCAAAATACTCCAAAATACTGATTGGTATCCGGAGATTTTGGTGGCCATTGAGCGCTGGAAATGAAACGAAAAACCTCATTTTGTAATCATTCATAGGTGGCGCGTGCTGATTGCAATGATGCTGAGTCCTGTTGAAATGTCCAAGGTCTGCGGCCAAAATGTTTGCGTGCCCATGGCTTTAATACAACCTCCAGAATATTTTCACGATAATATTTCGGATGCCACGGTCGATTTTAGAAGCCACAATGTATATAAATTCTTGATCAGCATAAAATTCTATGTCGATTTAGTGGTGTCCGTCAATCCATCCGTCAGTGGAAAACACTCTAGCTTCCGAACGAAATGATATTCGGTATTTAGATGATTTTAGCGACATTTTTCACGGGAATTGTTTTAAATTTGGTATTTGCAGTTCGTAATGGATACTACAGCCTATGACAGAAAATTGTCTGTGCAGGTTCATGTCTTCGTATAGCCCCAATATAACACCTACCGATATTCGGTTCTTTCGTGACATTATTCACCTGAATTGTTTCAAATTGGGTATTTGAAGTTCGTAATGGATACTACAGCCTATGACAGAAAATCGTCTGTGCAGGTTCACGTCTTCATATGGCCCCCATATTACTCCCTATATTCGGTATTTTGATGACCAAGTTTCGCATTTGAATATTGTAATGGCTTATGACAAAAGTTGCCTATGCAGGTCTGAGTCCTCGTATAGACCCTAATATAACGGCTACATTCGGTATTTCAGAATTTTTAACGGATTTTATTTTTTGAAAATTGCCAAATTCCTTCCAAATAGTGGAGGGTATTCATATAGCCTTTTTACTTATTTTAAACTATTTTTCTCAAAAACCTTAAAAATTAACTATTTACATTTTTTCTTTGACAGAAACAAACTTCTCATCCAACTGCAATCGCTGATCAAAAAATTTGATCAAACCATTGGCGATAAAATGATTGAAAATATGAATTTGCAAGAGGAATATGAAAAACAAAAGCAACTATTCGATGAATTTATGCTTGAATATAGCCGCGAAGAGGAGGAATATAATCGTATTGTTCGAACCAAAGAAGAGGAAGAGAAACGCAAGCAGGAAGAGAAAATCCTATTATTTATGATGAACCGCGCGGCAAGGACCATACAAAGGCGATGGCTGCGTTTTCGCAAGCAACGCAGTCGCAAGCAGGCGAAAAAGGGCAAGGGCAAGAAGGGTAAAAAGAAATAAAATGAAAATCAATTTAGAAATCACTTTCACAAATTTTCCCACTTTGTATTTTCTCGATACCGAAAATATTATGAAAATATATTTGTTTTGAAAAAAATATCAAATCGAATGGTGTTTTTTATTTTATTTCATTTTGTTGTGTGCTGTTGAAAAAATTACGTTTCGCCTCTTTCAAGTCGGGAAAAAAATTTGTAAAATATTTCAATTTTATTGTTGTTAAATGTAATCTTAAAAACAAACAGAAACCTTAATTCGCCAAAGAAGTAGCCAAAAATTATATTTCGAATGCGGTCGATTGTGGTAAATGCCTGAAGACAAAAAGAAATTAAATTAATTGTCGTTGTTCTGCGTGTTAAAAAGTATTTGATGCTTTCTTCATGAAATTGTCGAAGGTAAGGTTTAATAAATAAGCAGTCTTATCCGCGAGTTATTTCCCTTCAACATTTTTTTATAAAGCAGAACAAATTTTATTATACCAAAAATGTAAGGTTATGTTGAAATTTATATGTTATGATCAAGGCCTACAAAAGGTCGGCCAGTAAGCTGTCAAACAGCATAATTACGATTTCACCATCAATCCAAGAAAACCAAATCACAATAATGTTCTTGTCAAAAGTACTCATCTTGTCCGACCTTATATATGCCTTGGTTGTAATCATAAAGCTACCACTTTTTTATTACTTTTTTGTATATATACTTAATGTTCGACAGGTTATCAATTCGTATTATATATACTTTTATCCAGACAAATTTTCCTTTAACACGCCGATTATGAAGTTAATGCATTTTTTTCCTTTAAAGTTCCTTTTTCGGTGCAAACGGAATGCCAAACATAATATACCCTCCCCTGCTAAAATAATTTGTTAGAATTTAAAATTAACACAATCAATCTGAGGATCCCTACATTATTTCAAATGACTTGCATTGCATCTTGTCTTCAAGATTTCCATTGACATAATCGATCTAAAGAGCCCTTACATCTTTTTCAACAGTTGCAATTATATTCTTGGACATTTTTCAATCAATTTTAAACGATAACATTTATAAAACATCCTTCCGCGGAGTAAAAAAGAAATTTAAGCTTAATCAAAAATCAAAAAAATATTCGTTTTGACCTTGACTTTAATTTTGACCCAATCGATCTAAAGAGTAGCCTAACATCGATTAGCTGATAAAAAGCAACAGGTTCATACTTTCCATTTCAATTAATTTTGTGAAATATTTCACATATGGGCAACTAGTATCGTTTCGGTAGCCCTTATCAAAACTTTTGTGGAAACACAATTAACGAAAGTCTCTGCAGGGTAAAAAACACAGCTAATATTGACTAAATGGTAGTCGGTAATCGGTATTTCTAGATTTTCCACAACAATGTTGGCACACATTGAATGGTACGAAATATTGTACCACATTTGGTACCATTTTTTATGTCCAGGAAACATCGTAGCTATCAAATATCGGGAATACTCTGAGGTTTATAGCAAAAGGATGCATTCAACTCGTTTCTATTTCTGAATAGTTGTCCCTCATAGGGCTTTAACATCCTTCTTTATGGCAGAAAACTTACAGATGTTTTTGCAATGTGTTAAGATATCATTAGCTTGGTTCCAGAACAAATCGTCCATGTATCCGAAATTCTAGTATACTATTATATCTCTCTTTCTCTTACTTTTTTGCCACCAAAAAGTATGGGAAATTCGGAATATATCTTGTTTTTCCCCTTTCTTTTTTCAACGATAAAAAAGAATGCCTTTTCCCATATCGGACCCAAAAGAGTTTTAAAATATATATTTTAGTGGCACCAAATCTAATTTAAAGATAACCAATTGGTATGCCACATAAAAGTTTTTCTCTGCCTTTTATAAATTTCAAATGGAAATCTACAAAAAAATTCTACCCATTTTTGATGAAAAGTCCTTATCACGCGTAACATTTTTTATCATCTCTAATCGATTGGTTCCAGCACTAACACGAAACGATAAGTAATCAAGTAACTGCAATGCAAAGTCTCTTTCTTTTCAATCCGACGTCAAACGAGTCGAGTCCGTTTTGGTGAGCGGTCGTGGAGTTTGTGCACACGACTTGTCATCACATTTTTTTGTGAAAAAAAATTAAAAAATAAAAAAAACCAAAAAAAAATTTAAAAAACCCAAAAACAAAAAAAAAGTAGCAAAAATCGAAAAAAGTGATAAAAACGTAAGTGTAATTGTGTAAAAGAAGAACGAAAAAGTTACAGACATTCTTTGAAATGTGACGACGACGACGACAATGATGAAAGAAAAAAAAAAAAAACGTGGTGTGGTCAATTGTCCCAACTTTGAAATGAAATGAAGAAAAAAGAAATGAGTGAGCGTGAAAGATGTATGGAACTTACCAATGGACAGAAAGAGATGCAAAAAATCGATTCAAAATAAAAATTACTGTGAATTAGTGTTAAAAGAATGCTATGGAATTGCATGGGAACAAACGATATTAAGAAAACTTTAGATTTTTCAATAAAATAGTAATTTGCAAATACATATGTTGGTGTGTTGTCTCTCGTATCATAACCATGGCAATTTACGTCTACTTTTTTTTCTTTCTCTTCATAAGTCATCAGTGTGATGCGATGTGTGTGTGTGAGAGAGTATTTGTGTGATTGCGACAGGAAACCAGCTCACTCATTTCTTTTGAAACTAAAACATGGGCAGAGTTGCCATTGCATTGCAATTGTTAAACCCGCCTTAAGTCATTTACAACCACTGTACGACGACATCAATGTTTTTTTTTTATTTTTTGGTTTCTTCAAAATATTAAACAATTTAATGGTTTTTCTTCTTTGTCTCTTTACAGTTTCTTTTAAGTTTTTCCTTTGTGTAGATTTTCTTTTCTTCTTAAATACAAAAAACTTGAAAAGTAAATAACAAACGGACTTGAAAATGGCTTCTTTATACGTGGGTGATTTGCATCAAGACATCAATGAGGCTGGACTTTTTGATAAGTTCTCCCTTGCTGGCCCAGTTATGTCCATTCGTGTATGCCGTGACATCATTACTCGTCGTTCATTGGGATATGCTTACGTTAATTTCCAACAACCAGCTGATGGTAAGTTTTATTTTTTTTCTATTCCATTTAGTGTTTGTGAGTGCGCCTAGTTTGTAATGTAATCTGTAATTAAGTAATTTTTTCATATCTGCCCCTCTCCCTCCCTTTTGTTTCTCCCTTTGTTTTTGCAACTGTTTTTCTTGGTATTGCAATTTAATCGCTTGTTTATTATTACAATGATGAAATTGTCCCTCCAAACAACACCCCACACACATATGTGAATCATACAACCTCTTTGGTATTCGTTATTTATAAGTCTGGGCTTTTTCTGTTTTGTCCATATCGTTTACAGCCAGTTCTAGAACTAAGCAATAGAAAAAGACAAAGACGGATTGAAAAAAGACGAATCCCAATATGAAATCAAATATTGTCGAGGGAATTCCCCACATTACGAATCTCCAAATTCAATGAAGAGAAACATCCATTTATTAAAGGAATGTGATATATAAAAACAATATTCGCAGCGAAATCTCTAGAACTTATTGCCATTAACAAAAGTTGTATGACATCCTAGGTCTAATATTTTTCTTAATTTCTTTTTCTCTAATATAAATATCTAGAACTATACCTCTAGAACTTATTGTCATTAACAAGAGTTGCATGGCATCCTAGGTCTAATATTTTTAATTTATTTTGCTCTAATATAAATAGGCATGTAAAACATTGGGAATGTGTCTATATTGATTTTGTAGACGACGGTTGGGGTTATAGTTTAGCTAGATATTTACAGCTGACCTTTGCGAGGGCTTCTTAGATCGATTTTGTAGCAACAGAAAAATTGGGCATTATTTTTATTTCCTCTAAAATTTAACGAGTGCAGGTATATATTGCATATTATAATAGTATATGATGTTTGGTATATTAGGAATACCAATTATTATCCACAAAGATTAATAACTCATGCAAAATTTTAAAGAGGAAATATATTTTGCTAATATAATTGTGTTAGGGTTCCATAGATCGATTGTGTCGAAACAGAAAATTGCGCCATTTTATTGATGTCATTGCTACATTCGATCATTCTGCGGGAAGTGGTAAATAATAATTATAAGGGGGGTATATTAGGGATTTAAATAATTGATAATATTAAGATTAATAATTCTTGCAACAATTTAAAGACTCTTGAAACAATTTAAAGACTTGATAAGCAGCAAGTCAATATTCGTATATTAGGGTTACTTAGATCGATTTTGTAACAAGGGCATTTGCGTTCGTTTTTGATTCTTCATCAACATTTTTTTTTATTATTGGGGGAGGAATATAAGGAATATCATAAGATTCGACAATTTATAATCTACGTTTTTTATGAAAACATGTGTAAACTAGGCATTTCTTATATTTCATAAAGAAAATGAGGTGTATGACACTTTTCTGTTTTGAAGCAGAGCCAAAAAAAGTACGTAATTTTTTTCATTTACCCGTTAGATAAGAAAAATATAGCCTTATTTTCTCTTACTTTCCCAATAAGTTGAATAAATTTTACTCAATCACGTTCTTGAAAACATTAAAACACTCCTTTCATTATATTAACTTGGACACGCATCAAGTCAATATGCTTATGTTAGGGTTACTTAGATCGATTGTGTTACAAGCGAATATTACGTTCGTTTTTCGTTCGTTTTTCTTCATCAAAATTTGTTATTATTGGGGGAGTGGAATATAAGAAATCTCATAAAAATCAATAATTTTACATGTAAGTGATGCCCCCTTGAAAATAAATAAACAATGACAATCCATTTGCTAAATGCTTGATATATGTTAGGTTTCCTTAGATCGTTTGTGGAATTATACATTTATAAAAGCAAATAATGAAGAAACTCACCCAAATTAACTGCTTTACCAAGATTTGTAACTTATTTAAAGTATAATCAAAGGAATTGGTACTCTAAGTAACGTTTTTCATGTATAAAGTAGGCATTTCTTATAATTCATAAAGAAAAAGAGGTATATGACATTTTTTTCTGCTTTGAAGCAGAGCCATAGCAAGTACGTAATTTTCCCATTTACCCTTTCCCAAAATTGCTAAAATGCTTCCAAAATGACAAGAAAAAAACTTGAGTAATTTTGCTCAACCACGTTCTTGAAAACAAGCGAAACACGCCCTTTCATTATATATTAACTTTGATATTTCAAAATCACAGTCCGCCAGTGTTTTGCATATAAAGAAAAAACCCAATATAGCTCGCTGTACAATTTTAATGCAAACCGTGACTTAAAAATGCAATTAAATAGTCATTACCTTGCGTCTGTTTTTTTTTTCGAAACCAGTAAAAGCTGTGACTAGCCGACAACAACAACAAAAATTGCAATGCAAAGCAAAATATTTTGTTGCTCTATTCGCCATCACCCATGAGCTTTTTTGTTTTGTTTTTTATTTTTTTTTAATTCGGTTTAACTGTGATTTGAATACGATTAAGGTTAAATATTTTAAATATGTGTGAGCGTAGTTGTTCGTAAATGGCTAACAACAGCAGATACGTCTTTTGTGAGAAGTACACGTTTCAATTAGTATTGGTGGGGTAGTTTCTTGAAATCCTCACTATTTCTTCTTTAGGTAAAATGGATTGGAAACACATTTTCTTGTTCTCAAAAATCCCGCCTTTTTTTGGGTGTACATGACATTAAAATATTGAATGCTAAATAGCTCTTTTCAGCTTCCAATATCATTGTGGTGGGCTGCATTCCACATCCTCGCTCATTTTTTTTTTCTTCTACCTAAAGCATTTTCATTTTCCCCTGCATTATGGCAACAAAAAATGTATTGGGGTGATTAAAGTTCATTCCATCGCAGTAATTGTTTACGCAGTTGGTTTTTCTTTTTTCTTTAGAAATATTTGAATTATTCCCCTTGTGTGTGTGTGCGCGTTTCTTTTTTTGCACACGTTAACATTATATTCTTTTGCTGCTCCCATTTAAGAAACTAGAGGCTATTGTTCTTTGGAGATGGATTTGTTTTTGTTGTGTCATGCTTTGTTGCCTTCTTTTCAATACAACAATTCTTGAAATAAGAAAAAAAAAAAACATGGAACTGGTTTCGCTTTTATTTGGTGTAGCAACAACATCATTACTGGTTTTTAACGTGGCATAGTTTATATTTTTTTTGGTCTTTGTTATGTAGGTATTTGTTTTTGTTTATTGTTTTTATTATATAAATGTTTCCTAAATATGCTGATATTTGTGATTTCTTCACTTGCATTTGTTTTTTCTACTAAAACGTGATTTTTTTTTCTAAAAAAAAACTTTTTTATTTTTATTAAATTATTCATGAGCTATTTTATATGATGTTGCCATCCGCCGTTGCTTTTGGAATTTTTGTTGTTGTTGTCATTGTCACTACTGACCCACCTCATAATTGGGTTTTAAATATCGTCACATTCTTTCCATGAATATTTTAAATTTGCGACTGGCGTCCAAACTGGGCAAACAGGCAGACAGAGCCACACAATTATATCTGACGAATAAATAGCTAGCTCCAATTAAATTTATATTGTGCAATAGGTATGTGCATATTTGCTGGAAATGTGACACATACATAGGCTACATTAGTTAGCCAATCTTATTTTCAATTCGATGAAATGGTATCATCAATGACAGTGGAAGGATGCACATAGAAAAACCAACCTTAAATCTAACAAGTAAAATAGTATCAGCCAGTTTTGCCGACAGATGTATACCCCCAGCCTTGAGTTATGATTATTTAAATTGTTGACCCTTTATGATATGGAGGAGGCTTCGAAACTGTTGACCAATTCGTATCTGATCTAAGACTGATATAAATATTAAAACGTGCCAGATTTGGACTATATCGACTACTTCCTATACATTTTAGGAGATATGTGCAAATTTTTGGAAAATGTGGACATATGTGTGGGGTGGGGTAGCAGATACAACGGACCGAAGTATTTCATTTTCATACTCCAGGGTTTATTTCTATAAGGCACGCCGTTGGCCGTATCAAATGATATATACCCTCTCTAGCCATATGGCTGAGGGTATAAAAAGATGTAAACAAACATTCCATGAACTTGATACAGCGATATTGTTTTTGAATAAACAATGAAAAGCTCTATGGATAATGGGTATATGCAATTCAAATATAATGGGAAGGCTCTCCGAAGACATATGAATATAAAGAAATAGCTATATTTATTAACAAAGAATAGGAAGTGGTGCAACTCGTGTAATCATCAAACCCATTGTAAATTTATTTGTGTATTTCCCCGCAACCCTATTATGATACACATTGTCAATTTTAAATATATACCCACTTTTGTTGCCGTTGTCGCTTCACTTTTTACAAAATAACTAAGTTGGAATTTTTATTCCATGCATGTTTCCAAGGCCATTTGTTGTGCTGAGCGGGCGAGAGTGAGTGACGAACGCGTTTAATAGATGATAGCCAGCCAGCCCATTTGATATGTGTGATGTGCAGTAAATTCAATGATTTGATTTCTTCATAGGTTTTTGTTGTTCCAACAAAAAATTGTTTTTTTTTGTTTTTGTCGACAAAAATAATCAAACTGCGCAATTTTCTATTAAAGTCTGTTTTGGGTTAACATTTTTTCTTTCAATTTTTGAATACGTCTTTCGGGGCTTCTCTTTTGTTGTTGTTGTTGTTGTTTATAAGATATTGAACAAGCTCGGGCCAGACAATAATAGCATATTTTCGTTTATTGGTAACTTTCACTATTATACGCTGTGACGACCTCCAACTCCCTCCTCCCCTTCCTTCTCCCCCTGCACCATATTTTTGTGTGTGAATGGGTTTTCTTGTCATTCGAACATCAAGTTTTTGGTCGTTTTTTTTTACGTTTCTCTGTCTGTTTGTTTTTGTTGCAACAGCAGCACAACTTGACTACAAACTGTTGTGCTGCAGAGGTCATTGTCCTCAGTAGCGACTATTATAAAGTGATATTTTGTTTTTTTTTTTTTTTTTTTTTTTTTTTATTTATTCAAGATTTCGTAACACAGAAGCCTTTTTAGGCCAAAAATAGCATTAC